TAGACCATCATTTCTTTATACAGCTTAACATTTTTAATATAACCATCAATTCAGTTATTTCCGTTCAGATGTTCGCTATTTGAAAAGCTGTTTAAAGAGATGGTGTACAGAGAGATGTTTTTAATTGTTCTAATAATTTTGTGTTTTAATAGGAAGTTATGTTTTTCTTTTGTTTGTTATAATCTTTCAGCATCACACGTACTCACTTGCTTAGAGATGCTACGAGTATAGTATGTAGTCTGTTTGTTGGTGTTATTTTACTTTTTGAACGGTGTTGTCTACTATTTCTTATATTGTATGTTTGGTTACTCGTGGCGTGTTCTTGCGTAATTGCGCGCATATAGTTGTTTGCGCATTTGCGAGCTAGTGCCAGCTTTCGTGTGGAAAAAGTTCATTCGTTCATGTATGTGTCTCAAGCTGTTCTTGGAAAGCAGGCCTAAATAACTTTCAAGGTTATTGGTTATACTTCCAAACTCTTCTTGTATTTTGACGCTCTTCAGTTCGTTTATCCAGCATTCGACATGTCTAATCATTTTCTCGTCAATTTCTACATGAGAATCCAAAATATTCAAGCGAATAAGCTGCTGAAACAAGTAGAGAGATGCATGCTGCTCTAGCCCATAAGAATGCACTTTTTTCCGCCAAATGATCTATTTTTACAATCCAACTCCAAGTCTGCAAATGCGAAAAGTTGTTGCGTTTTGAACGATGATGCTCATGCTACCTCATTGTTATCTTCATGTTTATCTTGTCTGCTTCTGTCATGGTAGTTATGTTGAGATTATATTGATAGGTTAATAAATTTTTTATAATTGTTTATTTTCAAACTACGTAATCACAGCTGAACGCACAAAGTGAATATGAGGATGGAAACATACAACATTAAAAATAAATGCATATCTTTTTGCTACATATAGAGAAAATACCCGTATAAAGCTAGATGAACAGGTGAATTTGACTGTCTTTAAATTGTGAAGTGTATACGTCGTGTTCAGCCTCCGGTACTCTAGCAATCATTCATTGCTCTTCTGACACCGGGATTGAGGTAATAGAGAGAACTGAGCACGACTGTTCGGAAGAATCGCTTAGATGAGGTAGAATAATACTAGCGATAGTAGTAAGGATAGCGATGTGAAGGCAGTCGTAGCAGAGTCGTCTGTAATCACAGAATTTGAGTTGTGGAATTACTAGAAAACGAAAATCTATATAAAGAGTAAATGGATAGAAGATTGGTTGAGAAATTTCCACCGTAACAGTTTAGGACGTAAATCAATATGTATGTTGTTTTGAAAAAAAACCAACACATATTATTTTACGTCGCTTTAATTATGCATTTGTTATGTATGAAGCTCCAAAATGGATAGGCTATCCATTTCAGGTTTGGTAACAACTCTTGCATCTCAAACAAATTATCTTACGCCATATACGGTGAAAAATTCATTTTATTGACCGATTATAGAGCAGTAAAATTTGAATTTTTTCCAACAACTGACCATCTAATTCATCGGAGTTTTCACCATCAACGTGGATTATGTACATTATAGGAGTGGAAGCTTCCTGATTTGCTTGCTCTTGTTGTTCATTTCTTAAAAATTGATGAGTTTTTGAAAACTTTATTTTCTAAAGGATTCTCAACTTACTGAGAAGTTCTAGCGGCAAATTTTGGGTTCACATGGTGTTGCACGTCATGTTTCGGAAGTTGCACCTTAAAAGCGAGGAAATTTCAATGAAGAGCTATATATTTTGGATTTTTCATAGCTTACCTCAAATTTCACTTTCATCTGTCGTTCAGTACATAAACCATCTTTTCTGCGGTCAATGCCCGAGAGGGTGCCATCAGAAGTTGCTAGAAAAAGATGTTGTTACTGATTTTTCGTCCTCATCTTTTTTTTCTAGAACTTTCTTTAATTTCACTTAATTGAAAACGAATTAATTTGGAGAACACAGCACAGCGACTCTCATTTCTAGCCTAACCAAAGTCTAATTTTAATTTTATCATGTAATTTATTGCAGAAGAAGGTCCACTTACTTATAAAGTGATAAGTTTTGCCCGGCTCGAATTCCATGCCACCGGGAGTGGGTGTGAATTGTCGGAAGACGACTGTGATGGTTACCTTAATATCCAAAGCCCAAGATAGTAAATCCAAAGACGTGAGTTTTGAATTAAAAAACCTCCTGAGTGTTATTGTTGCATGTTCCGACTAAATGAGGATTTTGAAGGAAGCAATGGGTGTACTCCTCCTCAGACACCTGAAAATGAGCTGTAAATGAGATTGATGAAAAGTGCAGAAATAAAAAACATTTAATTTGCTATGAGCATTAGATAAATTGCAAATTAATTCTATTCTGATTGT